GGTCGGTGCCTCGCAGGTCCCCAGGTGCCGCCTGCCTGCTGGTCACTTCATGCTGGCTGATAAGAATGGCATCTCCACCTCCTGTTTTTTCACTCACCCTTTTCTATTTTTGTTACCAAACACTGTGCTTCCTCTTAACCCCCCTCCCCACCCTCTCCTCTGGTTTCTGGGATTGCATGGACGGTGGAGCACTGGCCTGAGCTGTGGAGAAGGCCTGGAGGTTGGCATCAGGCCCAGTTTTCCTGCTTCTTTGTGCTCTGCCCATGTGCATCTTCCTATTTAGTGTTTCTCCATCTTTTCCCTTCTTTTCTTTTTGTGTTTTGCTTTGTCTCTGCAGGATATCTGCCTAATCAACACATTGCCTTTCAGTTGAATGTCACAGAAGAGCCATGATTGTTTGCAAGCTGAACTCTCCAGAATGAATGCTGAGGCAGTATTTAGGGTTTCGGGGGCTGAGGTTGGAGGAAAAGCCTGGTTCCTAGAAAGCAAGCCCATTGCATCCATCTGAGCAACTTACATGCATACGTGCTGAGACCACCTCTTGGGGGCGGGAGGGCACTGAATTGATCCCCAGCAGAAACTGGATGTGGAGTTGTTTAGGGATGGTGTCTTGGTAGCCATCAATGAGAGTGAAGGTGGTGGGTGGGTGTGGAGCTGCTCAGAGCGCCTCCATGTCCGCATCTGTGTCTCCTTTGTGGGTCTTGGAGCCAGGCTGGCGAGGGGAAGGGCTGCCTGCACAGTACTTCCAGATTGTTGGCCCCACTCATTCACTTGATTGCCAATAGGAGAAGGCCTTGCAGGAACAGCGCCTTAGCCGTAGAGGCCGAGGGAGGGTGGCTGGGGCTGAGTGTCAGCTGGAAAGCCCAGTGGCCAGTTGGGGCTCAGTGACCCTGTTTTTTCCCCCCACAGGCCCTGCCTTTCTAGGATGTTGCCTTACAGCAAGAACACGCCCCAGGCCAAACCCTCCCTCCCCCATGTCCACCTCAGCCAAGGGAGCAGAGTGTTGGCGGAGCTCAGCAGGCACCTCTGAGGGCAGGTGAACACGGCCAGGCCCCACCCTCTTGTCCTCTCTCTGGCCACCCGGGGCAGTTGGTGCTACTTGGGAAGAGAGCACACATAAACGTACAGGGGAGGGAGGCGGGCACTTCCCACGCCCCGTCTTATTTTCCGCTGCTAAAATTGCACTATTTATGGTAATTAAATGTGTCCTAGGTGGGGAGAAGTGTTGACTACACCATGTCAGTGTCTTCTCGTCTTTTCCTGTGTGTGGAGAGTGACCGTCTATCCAGTATTATTTTATCTGTCCGGTTGTGGTCTTACTTGATCTCTTCTTACTACCTCTCTGTCTGAGAGATTGAGCAGTGGTCTCAGCCCTTCCTGGTGATGTGAACCAACACCTTAGTGACATTCCTTGAACTCCCAGGCTTCGGGGGAAGAGGCAGAAGGTTGCCCCCTTTGATATGGGTTAGGAGGTTAACTAGGGTACCTTGGATTACGTCTGTGTTCCTGACTCCACCCCTCCCCACCTCCCACAAGGCTTCCTTGGATTTCAGTTGTTTCACTTGTGTAAGGAAGGCGTTGTGAGCATGCCGCCCTGGCTATTTAGTCAAACGGGAGTTTGAGATTTTGTGTGTGTGTGTGTGTGTGTATGTGTGTGTAAACGCTCCTGTGGGCTCGGTGTAGAGGAAGGGGGAGGTGCCTCACGCGGAGGAAACTGCAGCCCCTTCACCCCCTTGGGGTGTCTCTTGGAGGAGAAGCTTGATAAAGTGCTGCCAAAATGGATGTTCTCTGTTGAGATACACTGTATTACAAAATGGAAACATTCCCCAAGCTGTCATCTTTAGTCAGATTTCATGTAACACACTGGAAAGAGCTTTAAAGACCCTCAAGATTTTAGTCCCAACTTACCCAGTCAAGTGCCATGTTTTTACCTCCTGGCTGAGGCAGTCCCAGCTCTTGACTGCTGCACAAAATCAGAACCACAACTCATCTCTAAAGCAAGAGCTGCTTCCAGGGCCTTGACTGGGCAGGCCCTGTTGCCATTTTTTTGTAACAACGTAGGTGGTATCCATAGGCTCTGAGATGCTTGCAGGACAGCATTGTCCCTTGGGGGAAGTGCAGTGGCCGTCTCTAAGGTCTGCCTTTTTTGTTCAGTAACTCCCACTTCTGTCTGAAGGATTAGGTAACTCCTACTTGTCTATCTGGAGACCATTTTTTGGCACTATCTAGATTAGTAAACCCAGTGCCTGAAAGTATTGATTGTTGTCTTAAACACTTAATAAATGACAAATTTATTTTGGTCTGGCTGCCCCTTCCTAAAAAAAAAAAAAAAATCTAGAACAGCAGTATCTTTATATGGTTGGCTGTGACAGTTTAGAAATGGGAAAGCCTGAATCTAACGTTTGGATACACTGTGCTGAGGAAACCTGTGTTTCCTGGGTCTTGGCTTTTGATACTCACATGAGCTATTTTGCTCCCTTGTTCTCCACTCCAGAGCTCAGATGGTTCCAAAGGGGACTCACCTCAGAATTAAGGGCATAAGTAGGGATCCTGTATGTGTCTACTGCCCTTTCCATGTTACGCCTTCCTAGGGATCATGACTTGGCCAAGAATTTCTGCTCCAAACTCTGGCCTTTTGTGTGAAGATCAAGGTCAAGGAAGATGTAAGAGACTTAACGGAATTTGAGCTGACCTCTGTACCAGACAGAACTGAGCATCTGCAATACTTTTACATGCTCATTGTATAAATGCTCTATATACCACAGATGGGCTTTTGGTTGTCAGCTTCATACTGGGGAATATTACCTTTTCCTCTTGATCACCTTGTAGTCTTTATTTTATTTATTTATTTTTTGTTCATTTATTTGGTAGGTTGTGGAGCTTGAACTGAGGGCCTGGGCACTGTCTCATCTCTTTTGCTCAAGGCTAATGCTCTACCACTTTGGAGTCATAGTACCACTTCCAGATTTCTGATGGTTAAGTGGAAATGACAGTGTCATAAGACTTTCCTGCCCAGGCTAGCTTTGAACTTCAATCCTTCAATTTCAGCTTCCTGAGTAGCCAGGATTACAGGTGTGAGCCACCAGCACTGGCTGTAGTCTTTAACTTATTGTCCCAGAGGCCAATCCTGCAACTTGCCTTGTAGTCACTTGCCTGCCCTTTGGTGGTGGTCGATGTGTTCGCTGGTAGATTTGGATTTGGAGTCACGTCAGTCTTTGTGTCCTCCTTTAGGTCTATGTAGGAGTAGTTGAGCCAGAGAGCTATACTTTTTCTCCGTGAAGGAGGAAATTAAACTGGGAACACATGTCTTTCTACAGAACAGGAAGAAGAAAATAAAATTCTCCAACTTTGATTTTTGCATGTGGTGTGAAACATTTTCCAATAGGAGTGCTGGGACTCCATTTTCAGCCAAGAGAACCTTTGATCTGGGCCATTAATAGGCCACGTGGGACAGCAGCCCACCGTGACCTCTGCATTTTCAAAGCAAGTGGTTTGTTACCCATCTGCATGGTTTCATCAGGGCCTCGGGCCTAGTTATCTCTTCCAAAAACATAATGGCTTAGGATTCTTACTGCCTTTGTGCTTAAAAGACAATTTACGTCTGTCAACTTTCAGAATTCCCACAAGGAAAGAAAAGCCACATGTTCACAGCGTCTAGTAAGCCTTGTGCATTCCAGTAGTTTATAGTTGCTGACTTCATTAAAGTAATTGACGAGTTCTCTGAGGAAAAATGAATCATGGAGAGGAGGGCTAGGTCAGTTCTGGAGATCTAAGGGCTGACAAGGAATCATAGCAACCATTTGCTGAGCACTTTGGTTAGCCGAGTGCTTTACCAACATGATCTCACTGCATTTCAAGGACAAGGATACTCAGCCCCATTGTACAGAGGAAACCGGCTCACGTTTCAGCCAAATGTCTTGGCTAACAAGTGACCCGCGCCAGCCCTCAGGCGTTTGTATGGGTTAAGGGTGTGAGTTCCGAGGACAGGGAGGGGCGGGGCCTTCTCTCCACTCGGGCCGCAGCTCCCCGTGGAGGGCTGGCGCTCAATTGGACGACTTCCAAACACGTCTCTGGCAGGCCCTCAGGGTGACCTGTTGGAAAGCTGATTATCCTTGGAAAGGGGACTTTGAAAGTTGATGAAACTACCTTGGAGGGGTGGCAGGTGAAAAGCCACGTTTCCTAAAGCCCGTTGGTACTGTTGACACGTGAGGCACGGGGGCCAGGAGCAGGGACCGGCCTGCACCGCCCTGCCAGGGCCTCTGGGCCGGGCCGGCCTCGGGTGCACCTGGGAAGGCAGGCCAGGCCTGAGCACTCAGCTCGGGGAGAAGGCACGCAGCCGGAAGTTCAGGTAGTTATTTCCGAGCTCCTCTGCAGGCGGCAAGAAGAAGTTACTACTTCGTACAGGAACCCGAGCAGGCAGCCATTCGCGGCAGCCAACAGCAGGCAAGGACAGGGAACCGCAGGGAGACAGAGACGGCTTCGTCCCTTCCCGTTCAGAGACTCGGTTTCCTAACCCAGTAGTCCGCCCACTGCAGGCTCCGGACCAATAGGAACTTGGGATATGAATGACTCATCATGATCGGGCCTATGAGGTTGACGCGCTTCCCGCCAGCATCTCGCGCGATAGTCCGGAGGTCTCTTCATAATAAAATGCTGCTTTAGAAGGAAAGACTTTTCCCCGCCCCTGAGCTGACACCGGAAGTGAGCCTGCATGAGAGATCCCTCCGCGGCCCGCGGCGGGAAGGAACGTGACACTTTCATCGTAGGCTTGGTGCAAAGTAGTGCGCCCTCTCCTTTGACCTCATAAGGCTTTGAAATTAAACTCCTATTCCTAGTACAACCCTCACAAACTGGTCGGGAGGCTGGAGGCGGTGGATATATCAACGAGAAGACGAGTAAGCCGGCAGGGAGGGTCACGTGACCCCGGCGGAAGGATGCATTCGGTGCTGCGTCCCACGGAGTTTATAAAAGGCCGGCGCACGGCACGGGGCGGCCATTTTCCTCAGCTCGCCGGTAGATGTAGACGTGTCCGAGGTCCCGCGCCTTCCCTCCTCCCCTCCCTGCGGGCGCGCAGCCACCATGGCGTATTAGAGGCAGCAGTGCCTGCGGCAGCTTTGGCCTTTGCAGCAGCGGCAGCAGCACCAGGCTCTGCAGCGGCAACCCCCAGCGGCTTAAGCCATGGCGTGAGTACCCGGGCGGGGCCGGCCGGGCG